AACCGTTTTATATCTTGTTATTCCAATTTCCTTGTACATATTATCAAATTCACTATTACAAAACTCTATGCCATTATTAGTTCTCAAAAACTTGATATTCTTACCAATTTAGTTTTCAACTTGTCTTTTCCAATTATTAAAGTTATGAAAAGTGTCGGATTTATCCTTTAAAAGATAAACTCACACTTTTCTAGTATAGTCATCAATAATAGACAAGAAATACCTATTTCCACCCGAGGTAGGACTGGTAGATGGACCCCACAAGTTTGAATGCACATATTCAAGCATGTATTTAGTTTTATGAACACTCATGGAGAAAGTAGTTCTATGATATTTATCTAGCACACAATGGTCACAGAAAGATAAAATCAGACACAATCATTTCCAAAAGCACCATTTTGATTAAGAAACTTAATCCCCTTTATACCCACATGTGCAAGTCTTTGTGCCATTTTTGTGTGTGATCAGCTTAGCGGAAGAGATATAAGAGTTTAAACATCTCATTACTTCGTCAGTAGTTATGTAAATACCATTTTTCCTAATTCCCTTAATAGAAACAAGTGCACCCTTAATCAATTTCAAAATTTAATTTCCAATTTTACCGGTGAAATCAGCTTTCTCAAATCTTCCTACTGAAATTAAATTTCTAGACAATTCAGGGATATACCTGACATCTTTTCAAGTATGCACAAAGTCAGTATCAAACTTTAAAGTAATATCACCAATGCCAATGACATCATAAGCAGAATTTTCAAACAACACAACATGGCCATCATTTGATTCATGAAAATTTTTAAACCAATCTTTTTGTGATGTCACGTGAAAAGATGCACCAAAATCAAGTATCCATTCATGTAAATGAGAATTGACAGTTAAATTCAATTCAGTAGGAGAAACATTAGGACTTGTAATCATATAGACCTCACCATCACCACTATCGAAAATAGACGACAATGCATTTACCTCATCTCCATCTTTACCCTTTTTGCTTATTGATAAGTGCATTTTGCGCACTTATTTAGGCCACAAAATCTGAAAAATTATCGATGTATATATTGAAATATGGCTTAATTCGATATAATTTGTGTTTGTAAGATTACATTGATAGATGGAATGAAGAGTATGCAAAAGCGAGCGGAAAAGGATCAAATTGGAAGAAAATGAAACTTTGGGGACCAAAATGCAATCATTCAAACGTTGACCCGAATGGCGAATTGAGCGTGGAATTGGGCTAAGTAACACATTGTGATATCATGAAATGCTAGAAGAAGGAAGAAAAGAAAGCAAGGCCAAATTCGAACCAATCTCTTATGGAAAGATATTTTGACGCCCTATATAACCCTAATTTCGTCCAAAATAAAGGTTTACGCATTATTTGAGAGAAAGAGGCATTGAAGAGCAAGGAAGAAGGCAAAAACGAGGGATTTTATTCCAAGATTCAAGATTGCAAGATTTAAATTAAATAATTGGGTGATGTCTTCTCCTAAATATTTTTCTTATTCTTTAATTTTATCCATGCTAAACTAGATTTTCATTGTACTAGGAGAACAATGATCCTCACTATGTGAACGTTTAAGTCCTTATTTTGCAATTTTGACATTAAGCCACAAATATTATATGTTGAATGATTTATATATACTTTAATGTCTCCATAATTAAATGCATGTGATTATGTGAGTATGTACAAACTATTTCATGCATTCTAAAGAAGGGAATTAGATTCAACAAGGTATAAATTATCGTAGGGTTCGATAGGGGATATAAATATACTGCTATGCTTTACGTGAATTTTTAAGTGTTTACAAAACGTCATGCATTCTCATATATTGCATTTGTCATAGAAATATAGTCAAATGGTATGCAAGAATATGTTCAATTCTACTCGAGAGAGATTATTGAATATGTTAAAAACATTGATTCTTCAACTAAATCGTCGTGTTGTCAAATTGTGAAATAAGGGTTAAATGTAAATTTGATTGGTGATTTGGGATCCTAGTGCA